TTTCGCAGCTACATAGTGATTTTCACCCTCGAATGCATTTCTCTCCAGAGCAAATGACTGCTCACTCGACGGTGTCCTTTCTAGCTCGAATAGCTCTCGTACCAGTGAGCTTACCCTCTCGTATAAGTAAACTGGGCAGTTGAAGCCAAACTTTATTTAAGGGGATCTACAAACGCTACGGCTGCCAACTGTCCCCCAGTTCTCATCGTGGTTCCTCAACAAGAATGGCCGGACTACCTCCTTCATATGTAATTTGGTCATTGGAATTCTTCCAGACCATTCAGACTGCGTCTATACTTCGCAACTCTGGCCATTCAGTCGTGCGATCTGGAAATCGCGCGACTGCCATTGACCACATCCTACCGCTAGAGGAACTGGCAACTTAATCGCAGTCAGGATAAAACTTATTCCGGACTTTGCAGCGGTCCAACAATTAGCAGCAGAGCGCAGTTAGTCAAACACGCGCGACCGAGCGACATTATAGAGAACTATGAACGTGGCCTTTCTTGGCTTGGTTTCGGGTTAGATAGTCGCGATTTCGCTCTTACGTTATTCGAACACTTGCTGCGCTTCTACTTACTAATCTTGGTATTTTTTTCCTTCATTTCAAAGTACTGCGATAGTTGAAGGCGCTACTATTCATGACCAGGCTAGGCAGGATCAATTTTCGTCTGATAAACGTCCTGTTCTCGTTCAATCCAGCATTGCGCGTGGGAAAACAAAAACCCAGTGAATAATATATGAGTTCCGCAAATCATCGCGGCTCCCTGCTTATTCGGATTGCTAACAAATCTATTTTTTTCTGGCGATGACGTAGTCGTGAAAGGGGGGGGGGTAGGGGGACTCGTGAGCGTTCCCCTTCCCCTTCCCCTAACCTCCTAAAATGGCTCGGGCTTGAACGCCGACGACTTTTCTGTGGGACTCTCTTGCCCACTCTGTGATCATCCGCGCTCCAAAAAGAAGCCTCAGTTAGAGGATGGGGCACCGAGACTCCCCCCCCCCCCACCTCCACCACCACGAGCTACGTTAGCCGCCCATTTCGTTGTATTTTTTTGTTACTCTTCATTACACTAATGGTGAGCGAGAAATGATACAACCGATTTTTTTGTGTTATGTCAACTCGATTTCATTTTGATAGCACGCTTCGCTTGTGCTTAATGTCCATTCTTTTTTCGCTTTTTTATCCTTACTTTCTATTTACTTTTCTGTTGTTCTATATTTCCTGCTTTTCCCGGCGATTTTCTTTGTAGTCTCCTTATTTTTAGTGAACTGCCTTTCCTTATATTATAGTATTTTCTGGAAATTTTTGCCTCAATCAACAGCATTAGATCAATTTTTGTAATATACTTCAACGTTTTTCACATGTCTTTGATGCTTCCTCATGGAGTTAAGCCTCTGTGTCGGGTTAATCAGCGTCGTAATGGCCATTACTCGTAGGCTCGGCGTAGAAATTACCTCTATTGCAGGAGACAGCCTACTCAAGAGGAAAGCATGTCGACAGCTTCCGTAGCGCATCTCGACCCGTCACGATTCCGATGTCTATGCGGATTCTGCCATGTTGTCGTGAGTTTCCATTTTTTCAAGGATTTTTAGAAAAATCACGAAAAAAAATCTGCGTTGGTAATGGAGCACCTCCCGCTGTTAAGGGAAAATTTTGTGACGTACGACACCCTGTCTCTCTAGGATTCCTCTTCTATTACACTCCCCTCTCCGTATCCCCTTTATTACCTACCATTTCTCTTAATTTTTCCAACATTCCAGCACTTTTCGGAGTTTCTCCAGAAGTTTCTCCACTGGGGAATGGAAGCGGAATATATATAGCGCGAAAAAATAGAAAAAGAAAAAATCGAATTAGAAATTGAATAGAAAAAAATCGAGAAAGCAGCAACGGTCTAAAAACATTTTTCGCAAAGGCAGTACGGCGCTCCCTTCAGCGATTGAATACAACCTCCCTCCGTCCTGCGACCAAATACTACCCCCCCCCCTCGCTGGAAATACCCAACGCGGATCTGAGTGAATGCGTTTGAGACTAGCTTATTAATAAATCCTGGGGACAGTAGGGCACGGTCGAGGGTCCTACTTCACCGGTGGTCTGGGGAGTCATATCTGCCCTTGGGAGATCCTCCTCCGAGATGTAAGGAAAACGTTCCAGTTTTTGGTTTTCCTGGTTCGCTCGCTGTGTGTACTCCTTCCTTTCCATCTTCACCCCCTCCCCAGCACGACGTTAAAAAACTGACAGAATTTTCGGAAAATCGATAAGGAGTTGAAAGGTTCAGGCTTCGAAGGTTGGTGGTCCGCCATCGCCCTTTCACCCATCCCGTTGTTGTCTCCTGGGTGAGTTCCGCTCTTACCTGATCCCCACCCCTTCCCCTCTTGATATGCTTTGAAGTTGGATTTTAGTGGAATTGCGGGCAATGAAATTCCTTTCCAAGATTCGGGTAGACGGCTCAAAAAATGAACTAAAGGGACCAGTGTCCCTAATTATTTCCCGCTTCCACACGGAGACCACTTATATGGGATGTTTACGACGCCATTCCTGAGTACTTGACCGGAATGTCTGCCAAATAATTCCAAGCTGGCACGTAATGTGTCAAAACAGCGTTGTTTCTCTCGTTCAGCTTCCTGCTCGATGTCTGTTCCGGGTGAATCGAGTAAGAGACTAATTTTTAGGCGGGACATGGTCCTGGGATCCATTGTATACGTCATATAGTATCCAAGGGCACCACGATCCCTATAGCTACCGTAGACTTATCGTGATCCCGAGTAAAGGTAGAGGGCATGGCGCATTTCAAAAAGGGTTGGCAATGGCGAAAACACTTTTCAACGCTTCACTGATCAACCATAATTACTCAATAAAACCAAGAGTTCTCGGATTCTAGGTGAGTACAGTGCTTATAACGCGCTCGCGAAAGCTAGAGCTCCAGACATGCGCCATCTGTTCCCCCTTTCTCATGCTTTTCCGGCTTTTCATTAACGGAATTCACACACGATTAAAGACTTCTATTTGACTTTCTATTTGGATTCTGCAACACTTTGCAGACATGTTGCAAATGGGCTATTAGACTCTCCTCTTCTCACACGACCTTCATAACTTAGGGGAGTGCCAGAAAAATTTTTGTGGCAACCGTTTGACTACCCTGAGAATCTTATCTACAATGGTGTAGCCTTAGGGAGACAAGCTGAATGGTGGCTTGATTCGAACTTATGCCCAAAAGTAGTTCGCCAAATGATTCCTAAACACCCAAAAGCCTCATGGAGGCTTCAGCAAAAACTTACAAAAACGACTTGTCCTCAACTGCGCGCCCACGCCCCTCCTTCAAGATGAACTGCGCCGTAGGATTCAATGTTGAAAAGCAAATTTGTGCAGCATTCGATTTCTTCAAAGTTTATCCGCCCCGGTAAGGAATTTTTTCTCGAAGGGAATGGCCTAAGACAGTAATTCGTCTGAGTAAGAGGCGAAACGAATCGCTTCCTTCGTTTATTTAGTCTCATTACTTCAGTGTATTTTCCTTTCTATTATTTAATTTTCAGACAGGAACACAAGTGTGTCTGGTGTGGTACGTGGTATGCTCGGTGTTCTCATTGCTGTTCGGCATGCGATCCACATTAACATGGCTGATCGTTCCGATTTGTGTCGTCATTCTAGGCGTCTATGCAATCATTAGTAAACGGCACAAATACCTCTATCCATTCCTCATTATTACGGTAAGTTTCCAGCATTTTGAGCGAAAAGCCAAAACAAAATGCCATATAAAAACAGTGCTAACCGGGGGGGGGGGGGACTGCCAGGAGGGGCATTTGAGACGAAACCTAATCCACCAGCTAATTTCAGATCTGCTTTTAAAACCTGTCTAGCATTTTTGTGAACGCGATTTTTCCACATGATAATATGAGGGTGCTTCCTTGCGACGAATTCTAGGACAACGGGAGGGACAAAGACTCCGAAACTCTAAGGAGAGAGCAATTTACAGATGGCCACTTCAACATGGGGTTCTTCTTTGCCAGCCTAAAAATTCACCGAACAACCCTCGTCCCTTGAAATGTAGCCCTGAAGGCGCCACAACGACAGGTCTGACCCCACCCATGTGATCAGCATAGACTGCGCCTCTAGAAAAACCATGTTAAATGTTCCGGTTTTCCAGATAGTTCAACAGCTGGTCTGCATGATGATGGCCACTATCATTCTGATCTTCTCATTCGTCTCCTTTGACACGATGCGTCAAATCATCGGTAAATTTTACATTCATGTGACTGCATCAACATCCAAGAATATGTGAATTTTAGGTCATTCTCTAGACTTTGAAACGCCACCGTCGACAAACATGGCATTGGCGGTGATCGGTGGCACTGTGGCTGTCTGTGTGATTCTTTCGTTTGTGCACATATGGCAGGCTGTTATCATTTATAGGTAGCTCTAAATTCTTTGCCAAATAAGCTAATGCAAAGTCCAAACAAGGCCTATCGCAAACCCACCTCGAGGTCGCGTTCATAGTTCGCATACCAAGCGATTCACTCGCGCGATCTGGAAATGAAACCACTGTGGCCGACTCGTGCTCCATTCTGATCTCTAGACTGGTCTAACAGTTTAAATAAGTTCCATCCTTCAAGGCGATTCGAATGGCAGCTGCGACAGCTGTAACAGAAAAGGTGGATTGACGGCGATCGGCATCTGTCGCCGTGAATCGGCTCGATTTGCGAAGTATGAACACAGCCTTGGTCTATAAAAGCAAAGCAAAAAAAAGCACGCAAGCTTTTCATTCTCGCCCATAATCTAAATTTCTGGCTAAACAATCACAACAGTGTAGCTTCAGCCTCGATATTGTACCTTTTCTGAGCTCCGTCACAACACCAGGGACCCAGAAACCTATTCAAAAACGAATCGGAAAAAAATAGTGAATGCCTTGGGCTCAACATTAGGCTGCAAGTGAACGCCTTGAAATTTTATTTCTTCGTAGACTGCCTGTTCACCTTTCCCATTAAAAGAACGTTCAGCTATGTCCAAGAAAATGTAAAGTCTGTGCAGACTGCACGAGAAGGTACGTAACGCTTTGACGGGACAATTTTATACCACTTTTTGCGGCGAAATGTTGTATAGTAAAAGCACTGAAGCGCAAGGATATTCTAGTGACACCATGGTTTCAGTGAATCAGCCTTTAGGCACCGCGTTTGAAATCCGCCTCCGGAAAGTAACTGATGGCTATCGCATGAGCAGCATGAAATGGTGGCTCTATTGTCGTCTATCTGTGAGGTCGCGGTCACACTAAGGAGGTAGCGACATAAAGGCCACGGTCCCGCGATAAAAAGCCTAAGCTGCTGGAGGTGAATTAAATGTGCAATTAAAAGTGGCATGACGATCGTCCATGAGGAGGACAGATTTTAAAAGGGAACGTCGGGAAAACAGCTTCAGTATGACCCTTTGCCTCAAAACAGTTGCACGTGCGAAAAATGCCAAAAAAAACCGCTTGTTGGGGCGACTCCACTTTGCAGACTCCGTATAACGAACCCTGCGATCCCACATGGGACAATGGAGCATCCATTTCATATTACTTGTCCGGTAGCATCGCTTTTGGCTGGAAGGCGATCTTTGAAGGCGGGGTCTGGAGGCGGAGTCACCGGAAAAAGGAAGTACCACTGGAGGCAGGATTGCACGCGTTTATACAAACCTACAATTTACGGCCGTAAAACTGGCAACAGGATTGTTCACAGTGAGCCACCACCCTTCCATAAGAGATTTTACTTTTTCCATGACTCATCGGCGGGCGTTCCTTTTAATTCTGCTTCCGAAGCACCGCGTTTCGCTTTATAGCTTAGTTGGGGCATTACAGAAGTGTTTCAATAGGACGGCCTTAAATATTTTCTCTAGCGACAAGTCCCCTGGCAATTGGTAACTTCTCTTTCTCACACCAACAGCACTAGCTCTCCTATCGCGGAGAGTGCCATTAAGAGCTTTCTCAAAGGGTCCTTAATCGAAAATCGGAACGGTGAAGGGCTCAAGTTACTGAACTGCAGGTCCTTCCTCTTCTGCGTTCGCATGGGTTAGCATAGAAACATTCCATTATTCTCTGTTCCCAATTCTTATCCATAACAGTACTGAAAAGGAGAAGTCGATATGAGCAGGCTTTGGAACAGTTTTTGTTCAGTAATACAATTAGCAGTGCACAGCAGAAGACGCTCGAAGAGGAGTTTTATGGCTGCGGTGGAAGTACCAATCTTCTTGATGCTATTCGAGCAACGTATAGTTTTCGCATTGGTCTTTGGCACCTCCCCACGGGTGTATTTGTCAACGCTTTTTGGTCTGCAAAGTCGATATGTGTCATCTTGGGATGTTGAATGTCAGGGAATGGGGTTCAAAAATGAATGGAATTGAAGCAACACTTCAGAACCATTCTTGGACCCAGACTGACTGGGTTTGGGTCACGTCACCGCCTTATGGTACACTTTTGCTAAATACGATCCCCTTTCACAACTACAATCCTACAATCTCTTACCATCTAATCCCAAACGTTTGACGTCGGCCCCGGGGGGAGGACAGGGAGTAGACACCTGCAATCAGTTATAAGGCCAGGGTGGAGTTTTCAAGGCTAAGTACGGCAGTGGGTGTGCTTTGGTTAATCATGATGCGCCCCACTGGGGAATGAACCTAAATCGAATGTCAGACTTTACGTTACCTCCACAATCTCTATGGGAACGAGATTTCTTTTCTCTCGCTGTCTGCGTTCTCTTACTTCTCATTTTCTGAAAACTCTTTTATTCGCTTCTGAGAGTGGGGGCCAAAAAATTGTATGAAGATTATGCCTGAAAAGAGCTGTTATATCTTCCACTTCAGTATACGATTTTTGCGATATCACGGGTTGAAGTGAATCTAGATCTGGGAATAGTTCTCCTTCTAGGGGGGGGGGTTCTCAACAGATCACAAACAGGCTTTCGCGATCTGATATTGGTTACACATCATATCTCGACACGGGGAGGGTTGACAGCCTTGGTCGGGAGCACGGTGGCGGAGACATCAGCCGATTCTGGGGGGGTCGTAGAAGACATGTGAACAAGAGAGGGCTACGGCACAAGAGGACGTCGACGCATCTCCCACAT